AAAAATAAAAATTGAATAAGATTAATTTCTTTTTATAAAATTTTTTTTGTTATTTTTTAAAAAAAAATTACTTTATATAATAATAATATAAAAATTTTATAATTTAAAATAATAAAAAATTATTTTTAAATAAATGAATATATATATATAGAATTTTTATTTATATATAAATATAAAGATTAAATCTTTTATAATTATTAATTATTTAACTATGGATTTTAATTTATTTTATTAAAAGTAAAATTATATTTATATTCGTTAAAAAAATAATTAAAATTATAACAAAATAAAATAATTTATATACGTTAAAAAATCATGTTTAATTTATTATATCTTCTAATTTTTTTTTAAAAAAAATATATCAAAAGTAGGTTATAAAAATGATAAAATAATTATATTATTATATAAAAATAAAAGTTATATAATGAAATTAAAATTTTTAGAATTAATATTATAAAAATCAAATAACATATCGAATATTGAATACAAAAAAAAGTAGTATAAAAGACAAAAATTGCAATAAAAAAAATAAAAAATTTGCCCTTTCATTAATATATAAAACACTAAAAAAAATTCCTTTAATTTAAAAAATACATCAAAAATCCTAATAAATTATTTGATTTTTTTTCAAAAATAAAACAAGTAAAAAAATATAGCTATTATTCATACATATAAAATTTTTATTTTTATAAAAAATATTAATTTTTAATCAAATTGCAAAATTTAAGCTTTAAACTATATTATTTTGTTAATTTTTCCAAACTAAAATCTCAAAGGATACTTGTTTTTCCAAAAATATATAAAAAATTTTCTCTAATTTAAACGAATTTACTAGATTTAGAAAAAAGAAGAAATTAAAAATGTTATTTATCAATTATTAGACTGTTTTTGATGATTTTCATCAAAATCATATAAATTAGGTACTTATTTTCTTAGATGTATATATTGGAGAGAAATTTTATAAGGGGAAATATAAAGAGGTTATGTTATAAAAAAAGGAATTTTTAATGAAAAAATGGCGTTTTGTGTAAAAAAATTGATTTTAAAGTATTTATTTACCTTGGTTTATATTTTTAGGATGTAAAATAATTAAATTAAGATGTTTTTTTAAACTTTTGTGAGTTTTGTAAAAAGAGTAAAATTAAAAAATAAAATATATAAGAAACTTAAATTTTTTGTAAAGAATTTTTTTTTCTATAAAAAAGATAAAAAAATAAATAATATAATTGAATTTTCTGACTTAAAAAAAATAATGTAAAAGAAAATTTCAAAAAAAAAATAAAAAAGAAAAAAAAGAAAATGTAAACTTAAATTTTATTGAAGATATAATTCTGAGAAATAAAAAATTTATTTAAAAAAAATTACACTAATTTTATGAAAAATTATATTAAAAAATTAATTTTTTAATAAAAAAAAATATTTATTTTCATATAAAAATAATAAAAAAAAAAAAAAATATAATTTTTTATGAATAAAAATATTAAAAGTAAAAGTAAAAGTAAATATATATATATATATATATATATATATATATATATATATATATATATATATTATAATTACCATAAATATTATATAATTAATATTAATTATTTATTATTCATTTTTATATAAACCTATTTTTTTTATATTTTAACCTTTATATTTTTTTTTAATCTATACTTTTAAATTATATAATATTAGTAAATAAAAAAACATTAAATATATGATATTATTTATTTTATTGTTTTATTTAAATAATTAATATATATTGTTATATTTATATATTATATTTTTTTATTATAGAATTAATAAATTCTTTTATAATAATAATTAATTATTATAATTAATACTAAAATAAAATTAAATTATTTTTAATTTTTTTTTTTTATAACTATATTTAATTATTTTTATAAAATCCATTTTTTTATATATTTAATTATAAAATTAAGTTATTATTTTTATTATATATAAAAAAATATAATATAATTAAATACACTTTTTTAAATAAAATAATAAATAATTAATACAAATTAAAAAAAAAAAACTGATAAATTATTATTAATTTTAATATATTTAAAGATTTGCTTTTAATTTGAAACAAAGATTATATATAAAATTATAGATTAAAAATTAAAAAAAGATAAATATACTTAAAATACATAACTATTAAAAAGGTTATTCATTTAAATCTTATAAAATTTATTGATATATGAATATATAATAAAAAAACAATAAATCTAAATATATATTTATTAAAAATACATTATTTATAAATAATATTTTTATTTGATATTATTGTTAAATAACCAAAATCAAAAAAATTAAAATTAAATATTCAAAATTATTTAATATTAACTTTATTTTAAAAATTAGTATATTTGAAATAAACTAAATACTAAAATTTATATAATTTCGCAATAAGACCTATATTAATCAATTTATATATATTTTTTTTTTTAAATAAAATATATGTGAATTTTATTTTTTTTTAATTTTTTATATAATTATTTATTTTTTAAAAATGAAATTAATTATTTTATATTTATAATTATTTCATTAATTTATTATAAAATAAAATAATATAAAATTGAAAATAAAAATAAAAATAAAAATAAAAATAAAATATAATATATGTAATAAAAATAAATTTATAAAATTATAATTAAATTTAAAAAATAAAATATGTATATATAAATGATTTCATAAAATATATGTATATAAATATATATTAAAACTTATAAATATAAAAATATATTTATATAAGTTTTAATAAATGTTTCTATTATAAATTACATTTACTATATAAATTAAAAAATTAAATATAATTGCTTATTCATAAAAATTAATTATTTTTTTAATATCTATGTCATTTCATTTATTAAAAATAATTTTATAAATAATAATTATTCTATATAAAAATAAATTTAAGCCAACGTTAAATTTTATAGAAAATTAAGATACCTTAAAATTTTTTTATAAAATAAAAAAATCTTATTTTTTTTAGATAGAAAATATGGATGACATAATAGAAATTTGATTAAATGTTTTTTGACAGTATTCTTATCTATAATATTTATGGACACCCTATTTTAAATGGAATTAAAAGTATGGAAATATTTAATTTAAATAATATGGAGAAGAGTGAGATTTAATATCTGATAAATTAACAATATTATAATAAAGGCTTTTTATATTGTAAATTAGGTTAAATTTGGAAATTTTATTAAAAATTTGAAATTTCATACAAATCGATTGAATTACATTACTCTTTTAAATAGAACTGTAATAACCAATGAAATGTTCACAATCTTTTCCTTTTCTATACTATGTTTATTCTACTATAGAGTAGCTTGTTTTAGAATACAAACCTGTGTCCTTTAAATAATTGACTGTAAAACAACTAAAAAAAGCTTTATTATGTGATATATATTGAGTTATGTATTTTTATAGATGACTGTGGTTTGTCCGCAACAAGATCCTGAAGAAGCTATGCCTTCTGAATTTTCAAGAGAAACACCAAACTAATGACATCCGAAATAATTACAAGCGAAATTCAAAACGTTAAGAGTTTTGAGCATATAAAAATATTTTTTTTTATTAAGCAATATTAAATAAAATTCAGATTTTGAGATTATTTTTATAAGGCGAGAAAAATATTCAATCAATAATTATAAAGCTTTATCGCAGACAACAGTTAGAATTTTATTCTAAGGATATATGGCAATCTTGAAAAATAAGACATATCGTAGTTTATAATCATATAAGGGGATGTCTGTTTTGTAAATTACGGATATCTAAAAACTCCTAATTAGGAGGAAGGATTGAATTTTATATTTTTTGGATTTATTTCATTTTATCGAAGGCACATTGGTGTAAAAGTACTTATAGAACAAAAATAAATTTATTAATAATAGTGTTATTATTAATTTTTTGTTAATTTTTTTTATTAAATATACTTTCGTTAATATATTTTTTTTTATTTATAAATTTATTATTTTTATAATATTATTTTCTTTAATTATTAATATCTTATAAATTAAATAAATATATATATTAATATTATAGTTATTTTTTTATATAGATTAATATGCTTTAATTATATATTTAGTTTTATATTAAATGTTTTTTAATAATTAAAAAATGAAAAAATTTATAAATAATGTAGATTAATATATATTTACTAAATATAATTTATTCGATTATATATAATGATTTATTTAAAAATAGTAAAAAATTTATATTAATTTTAATATGTTTACACTTTTAAAAAAATTTATAATTAGAAGCAAAATAATATATATATTTTTTTTTGTCTTTCTATTATTAATTTTTTTAAAATTAAATCATTTATAAAAATCATATTTAAAATTTATATATTAATTAAAAATAATTAGATATATAATTAATTATTTTCTACTGTATAAAACTTTAAAAATAATTTAGTGATTTTTTTATTGATGCTAAAATATATTATTTATTTTAATATGAGCAAATTTATAATATTATAAATAAAAGTTTTTTTTAATTAAAAAAATAGAACTAAATATAAATTAATTATTGATTGATTTAAAAAATTAATTTAGGATAATTATATAAAATTCATTTATTTTATATATTATATATTTATATTTTATAATTTTTTTTTATATATATAAGAATATTTTTTTATTTTATATTTATTTTTAGATATAATTTATTTTAAATTTTATACCAATAACATTTAATAATATAATTTATATATATTCATATTACACAAAACTTAAGCATATTTTTGTCTTTAAATAAAAAATATTATTTAAATTTTTAACTTAATTAAATAATAATTTTATTTTATTTTCATTTTATTTTTATTTTATCTATTTTATATACATTTTTTAACATATAAAATAAATTATTGAAATAGAAAAATATACTATTTAAATATAAATAAAAATTTATTAATATACACATATTATTATTAATTATATCATTTAACTATATAAGTACTTTACAAAATTATATTAAAAATAATATTTATTAAAATATAAATAATAACAAAAATATTAATAAAAAAATGTAAAAATTTATTATAATCCTATTATTAATAACCTTTGTTTTCGGTCTAAAAGTACTAGAACACGAATGTGGTCACGATAAATTTAAATAAAGCTATAAATATGAATCAATCCCTTAAAATCCTGTTGAAGAATCTTCAGATGTTCGTAATTTATAATATAAATATCCTCGTAATATGTTAATTACCTACAATATGGATTATTTCAAACCTTTAGCTGCTTCTCATTTGAAAGATAAGCTAATTAGTATAACTAATAGCTGTGAGAAAGCTTTAAATTTGGCAATTCAATATTTTTCTCGTTTAATAAGAATACTCCCAAAAAAAGAATCAGATATGAGATATAAATACAGTAATAAAAAATGTGGATTAGTTCCAATTCCTGATATAGACAGAACATAGGCGTAAAATTCTGATTTACATTTATATGTATCATATACAGTTGAACCAGGTAACAATACTTTAGCTCATGCTGGTTGGTGTTAATTTATAGATCGTTTAGGACCTACTCATGGTACAGTTAACTTTAATTTAGGTTTATTAGCTGCCAAAAATCTGGAAGATCCTATTGAATTTGAAGATTTAATGGAAATAGTTATCCATGAAATCACTCATATATTAGGTTTTAGCGATGATGATGTAAAAAGATGGGTAAATTCTAATGGATTGCCATATACTAACCCTATCACTAAATAAATAATTAGGGGAGTTGAAAAATAACTTCTGAGTACTCCTCATGTTTTGGCATTCGCTAAAAAATATTACGGATGTGAAAATTTAAAAGGTATGCCTCTTGAAGATTAAGGAGGAAGCGGATCTGCAGGATCTCATTGGGAATAAACAGCTATCGCAGACGAATACATGAATGCAAGTATATCAAAAACTTAGGCCTATTTTAGTGCTTTTACAACCAATCTTTTAAGAGACACAGGTTTCTATGTTGAAGTAAACGCCTCTATGGAGGAAGCAACGAATTATGGATAAGGAGAAGGCTGTCAATTTATCCTTGGTAGATGTGATTAAAGTATAAGAGAATTTTGTAGACCTGTATAAGACGATGGATTATGTGATTATTATCACCATGGATCTTCTGTTTGTACTATTGGTTAATTTAATGATCCTAATTGTAATACTTCTAGTACCTATTCTAATGGAAAATGCTGGGATACTAGTAGTGATTTGAATACATAACAAAGTTAACTTGCATATGGAATTAAATTTGGTATTAATTCAAAATGTTTTAACGTGACTTTATTAAATAAAAAATTTGTACCATCTAATAAATTGTAAGGTAAATGCTATTAACATTATTGTTAACATAATTCATAATAATTGATTATTCAAGTAGGAAATTAAAAGGTTATTTGCACTAAAAACTAAGCATAAATGTAAGTTGACGGATATAATGGATATATTTAATGCCCGGAAAATATACAAGAGTTTTGTAATTTTAAAAAATTCTGTCCAAACTACTGTAGTGCAAATGGATATTGCTTAAAAGGATAATGTAATTGCGATAAAGGATTCTATGGAAGTGATTGCTCATTATATAGCTATTAGTGAAAAAAAATTATAGTTTAATTTTCTATATATTTTATTAGAAAAACTAGACTAAAAATATTAATATTATATAATAATAAATTAAATTATAGGAATTATAATTTCATAAAAATAGTATTTTTTAAAAAAATATATTAATTTCATTTGTTTTTAAAAATATATATAAAAAAAATATATTAAAAATATATATAAAAAATAAAAAATGTATTTAAAAAAAAATTAATAAATGAAATTTAAAATAAAAATAAATTTCATTTTAAAAAAAAATTTTAGCCATTTTTATTAAAAAAATTACATTAAAATAATTTTTTAATAATTTTATAATTTAAAAATGTTAAAAATAATTTTTAAATAAATATATTTAGAATTTATATGTATATATAAATTTGAAAATTTTAACTATTTTAATTATTAAATATTTAACCTGGACCTGATTTGCCTTATTAAAAGTAAAATTATATATAAGTAAAAAATTAAAATCATATTATAATATATTTTAAAAACAAGTGTTAATATAATAAATATAATTATTCATTTACATTAATATATTGTGTTTAATTTATAATATATTCTGAAAATTTTTAAAAAAAATTCACTAAATTTAAATTCAGCACAAAAAAATATATCAAAAGCAGGTAATAAAAATTACAAAATAAGATTATTTTTTATTTAAAAATATATATATATAGAATATATATATAAGACAAAAATTGCAATAAAAACATAAAAAAAAAAAATAACATAAATGAATATATCATAAAAAAATTCTATTAATAGAAAAAATAAGAAATTTAGAAAAAGTGTACTATTTTATAATAAAAATGTGTTTATGGAATAAAAATTGATTTTAAAGTGACTTATTTACATAGCTTATATTTTTAGGAATTAAAATAATTAAATTGTGATATTTTTTGAAAAATAATTGAATTTTTTTAATAAAAGTAAAATATAATAAAATATAAAAAAAAAAATTAATTTTTGAAAGATATTTTTTCTAAAAAAGTAGAAAAAAAGAAAAAATATAAAAAAAAAAAAAGATTATAACAAAATAATAATAAAAAAGAAAAAAAATTAAAATGCAAATTTATATTTTATTGAAAATTTAATTATAATAAATAAAAAAAAAACATTAATTTTCGAAAAAAATATCGAAGATAAAATTTTATTAAAAAAAAGAATATCTTACATTAAGAAATAAATAATAACCAAAAGAAAATAATTTTTTATAAAATAATCTAAGAAAAAAAAATATATATTTTAAATAATATAAATAATTTATATAGAATTAAAAATAATAAAAATATATATATATATATAAATATTTATACAAATATATATATATATATATATATATATATATATATATTTATTAAATTAAAACTAATCTACGTATATTTTTTTATTTTGCATAAATATAATATTTTATTTTTATTTATATATATATTAATTTTTACAATATTCAAAACAAAATATTTTTTTTTTTCATTAAATTATCATTTTTAAAATGTTTATATATATCAATTTTTTACTTATTCTTATATCTTTTATCTTATACCATTTATTATTAAAATTATTTTTATGAAAAAATTAATTTTTTTTTTTTTTATTTTTACATTAAATTAATTTTATAAAGTTTTACATAAATATAATTATTTTTTAAAAAAAAATTAGAATGATATTAAATAATTAATATATTTTTAAAAATATAATAAATAATTATTGTATTATTTTTTTTTTTATTTAATTAATAATTGAATTTTTATATATATATTTAAAAAAAACAAAAAATAATAGTTTAATGATAAAGTTTGTATATTTGTATTTATTATTTAAATAATATTAATATCTTAATTTTTTTCTATATTTTTATAAAAAAAATATATAAAAAGGTTATTGAAATACACATAGAAAAAAAGTCATTAAATTAATTTAAAAATTATAAATTAATTAATTTACTATTTTATAATTATTTTAAATTAAATAAAATAAATTTACAAAATACAAAATATCTTTTTTATTTATAAAAATATATAAATTTTATATTTAATATAAGAAATATTAATAAAAAAATACATTAATTCTGCTAAATATTTATTAAATAAATATATGTTAGTGTAAATTACTAATATTTTATCAAAACTATTTATTGAATATTTTAAACTTAATTGTTCTTTTGATATATTTAATTAAATTTTAAAGCAATTTAATAATAATAAAAGTATTAATAAAATAATTATGAAAATTAATTATATTATATATATATATATATATATATATCTATTTATATATTTATAATTTTTTAAATTTTATATAATATCATATTTTTATATCAAAAAATATTAAAAAAAAAATATATATTAATAATAAAATAGTATTAACTAATTATTAATAAGCATTATTTTATGTTGAAAATATTTTAACACGAATTTAAACTAATTCAAATATAAATATAAATATAAATATAAATATAAATATAAATATAAATATAAATATAAAAATATAAATATAAATATAAATATTTTTTTTATATATACAAAATATAACTTTTTATTATAATGTTAACAAAAGTTTATTGAAAATCCAAAAAAATTAATTTTTTTTTATACTTTAATTGTAATTTATTTTTATAATTTTTATATTTATTGATTTATATATAAATAAATCTAAATTAATAGATATAATAAGGTTAATATGTAAATTCAATATTTTTTATATCTTATATTGGTAAAAAGAAAAAAATATAATTTTTTATTAATAATTTTATTTAAAAATTTAAGACATTGTGTAATATGCCATATAAATTATAAAAACTTATTTTATGTAATAAAATATATTGAAAAATAATTTTAATTTTAATAATAATAATTAATAAAAAATTATAAATATTAGAACAAAGAAATAATAAAAATTTTCATTTTGCTAATAAATACAATGCCAATATTTAAAAGAAAAAAATTATTTAATAATTAATATAAATTAATAAATAAATATATAAATATTTAAAAAATATAATAAATATATTTTTATTAAGAAAATTTATTAATTTTAATAAAATTAAATAAACTATACATTTTATAAATTACATAATAAAATAAAAATAGAGCATAAAGAAATATATAATATATTTAAATAAAAAAAATATATTAAATAATTGAAAATAAATATATAAAAATGTAAAAATTATATAAATTTATAATATAAAACATAAGATAAATATACTTTTTTTTAAAAAAATACTATAATATTAGAATTATTAATTTATGTTTACTAAAATAAATAAATGTTTCTATATAAAATAAACTTTTTTTTAAAAAAAAAAAATTAGTTAAGATAAAATAAATTTGAACTAAAGTATATACTGTAGGAAAGAAATAAAAACTATTGCTTTTAATTTTCTTATAATTTTTTGAAACAAAAGTATTATTGAATTTAAAAAGAGTTTTATTTTAAAATAAAACAAAATATAAAATAAAAGTTATAAAGTTATTAAAAAATTATATTATTTGAATATTATTCTTTTAAAATAAAAAAAATAAAATAAAAAATACTTTATATAAAATAATTATAATATAAGTATGATAAAGTAATAAATAAAAGAATGAATATATTTAAATAATAATATATAACAGTAATAAAAATATTTATGGAATATTTTAATAAAATAATTTAAATAAAATAAAAAAAAAAATTAAAAATAAGTTAAATCTATTGAATAATTAAAAAATTGAAAAAATTTTAAATAAATTAATAAAAATAATTATTAAAAAGACAGAAAATATATATAAAAAAAAATGCAATTAATTTTTTAATAAAATAAAATAAAAAAAAATTTAATAAAAAAAAAAATAAATTATAATATGTTATAGTAAGAAAGATAAATAAAAATAAAATAAATAAAAAAAAATATATAATTATATAAGTAATAATATAATAATAAAATAAAATAAAAAAAATTAAAAATAATATTAGATAATGTAATTTATTTAAATTTATATATAACTATATAAATTAAAAATATAAATATATATTATATATATATATTTATATATTTATTTATATATTTATCTATGTTTTTATATTTATTTTTCTAATTTTTTTTAATTATATTATTTTATTATATTTAAATTTAAAATTTTTTTTTATAAATTTTTTTTTTTTATTTTTTATTAATTTTTTTTTTTTTTTTTTTAAATTAACTAAATTATTTATTCTTTTAAAAAAATGAATTAATTTAATTAAAATTTTTTTCTAATAAATAAATTTAATTTAATTAATAAAAGTTAATAATTATAAACAAATTATTTATGTATTTATTATATTAAATAAAATTAGATTAAAAATTATTAAATACTTAACTAATCAAGCTACTTATTTCTTAAAGCAATCATTTCCAAAGAATCCTTTCATACATTAACATTAATTTTTTAAGCAATATCCGTTTTTACTACAAAATCCTGGACATATTTTTTTATACATACAAAACTCTTATATATTTTCAGGACATATAACATATCCATCATAACCTTTAACTGTTATTTTTTCTAATTTTTTTTTACAAATTAGTTTTTCTTATCCTACAAATATAAAGACTTATTATCCATTTGAACTACATTCATATTTATAGCAATTACCTATAATATTTTCATTTTTTTTTTTTGATTTTTTTTCTGTTTTAGCTAATAAGTTTCCGTTAAAACATCTTGAATCTTCTCCAAATTAACCTCCATTTTTTTCATTAACATCTTCAATGTTCAAAAGACTATTAACATCCCAGCATTTATAATCTGGGTAGGTAAATAAATTATTGCAACCAGGATTATTAAATAAACCAACACTACAATTAGCAAGACCATGGTGGTAAAAATCGCATAATTTCTCGTCAGTTTTAGGATCACAAAATTCTCTTGTTGTAGTTTTACATTTACCAAGAACATACTCACAGCCTTTACCTTTTCCATAGAACATCTATTCTTCCATAGATTCGTTTATTTCTGTATAGAAACCTGTATCTCTTAAAAGATTAGTTGTAAAACCACTAAAATAAGCCTAAGTATATGATACAGATGCATTCATGTATTCGTTTTGCATGATTGTGTTTAACCAATGAGAATTTTTAGAATTTCCGTTTCCTTAGTTTTAAAGAGGCATACCAACTAAGGTAGGACATCCGAAATATTTACGAGCAAATGCCAAAACATGAGGAGTTGTGAGTAATAAACTATCAATATCCCTTATTTTTTATGTAATAGTAGGTTTAGCATATGCGATTCCATTAGAATTTACCCATTTAGGTATATCTTCATCGCTAAAACCTAATATATGAGTAATTTCATGGATAACTATTTCAATTAAATCTTCAAATTCAATAGCATCATCCAATTCTATTTATTCTAATTCAGCTAAATTGAAGTTAACTAAACCATGAGTTGGTCCTTGAGCATCCAAAAATTAACACCAAATAGCAGAGGCTTAATACTACTAATCATCTTCCATTACATATTATACATATAAATGTAAATCAGAATTCTTTCCTCTAGTTTTATCTGATTAAGGAACATCAACTTTTCCACATTTCGAAGATTTATATCTCATATTTACTTCAGATTTTGGAATTATTTTTATTAAACGAGTAAAATATTCAATAGCTATTTATACGGCTTTCTCGCATATACTAGTTAACTATTTATTTTTAGCATTTTAAGGTAATATTTTGAAATAAGACATATCATAACTTATTACCATATTACGGGGAATTTTATTTTGTAAATTACGGATATCTTAAGATTACATGTCAGGTGGAATTGATTTGTATTTGTATTTTTATTTCATTTGATCGTGGGCACATTTATGTTTGAGGATTCTTAAGCTGAAAATACAGGTTATAAATAATAATGTTATAATGAATTTTTTCATTTTATTTGTTTTTAACTTTTTTTTTATTTATAAATTGATTATAATTATTTTAGATTTAGGTTTTAATATTTTGATATCTAGGTTTTTGTTAACGTTTTATATAATAATTGTTTTAATTATTATATAAAAATAATTTTTTATTATATATATTATTTATATAAAATATTTCAAATTTTATCACAAATAATATTTTTCTAAAAAGATAAAAAATAAAATAAAAAAAATTATTATTATTATTGAAATTAAAATATTCAAAATAAATTTGTGTTTTATAGACATATTTAATAATTATTATATATATATATATATATATATATATATATATATATATATTTTTATATATATAAATATTATATTTTTATATTTTTTTATATACTAAATTGTTTTTGTACAATTTAGTTTTAAATAAGTATTTTTGTAAAATTAAGTTATATATATTTTCTTTTTTTAAATTATTTTTTTATTTATTTATAAAAGAAATTATAATCTAATTAATTTTATTATAATATTTTTAAATTAATACCAAAATAATTATTAAATGTATTTATATTTATTTGTAGTATTAAAATCAATTATAATTTTATTTTTTAATATAATTATAAAAAATACATATAATATTTTTTTTTTAATTTGATATATTTTTTTATATTTTATAAAGTTTTAATCAAAAATAAAGGCAAAAATCAATTTATTGCCGATTTTTTTTGATATTTTTTAAAATTAAATTAAAAATATATATTTAATATAATTTTTTGAAAAATAAACTGTATAATTTTAAATTAATTTAATTTAAAAATTAAATACGCATTCATATATAGTTAATTTTTATTTATTATATATATTATTATAATATGATTATTTTAAAATTATTCATCTAATTTTTTATAAATATTTATATTAATATATATATTTAATTATATTTATATATATTTTTATTTCTAAATATTTTTTTTATTAATATATTATTATAATATATTATTAATTTCTTAATTTATTATTCATACAAATATCTTATACATAATTATTTATTAAAGTTATTATATATAATATTTCACAATATAATATTATTAAATATATTTATTAAAATCAAAAATTATCATATTAATAAAAATATTTAAATTAAATAATTTTAATATATATATTTTATTGTTATTTTATATAATCATACAAATTAAAATATTTTTATATTTATTTTTTTTCAATTTTTTTTTAAAAAAAGTCTAATATAACATTTCCAAAATACTGCTATATACATAATAATTTTAACTTGATATTTTTTTTGTTTATTTTGCTAAAATTTAAATTAAAATTAAAAATCTTAATTTTAAAATATAATAAAAATTTTCTTTAAAATATTTAAGAAAGGAGAAAATATTTTTTAAAATTATATAATTTACTTAATTCTAAAACAAATAAATTTAAATTTATCAATTTTATATATATAATAATACAAACAATTATAATAAAGCCATTTTTTTTAAATAAAATTCTCCTATATGAATATATCTATTTAATATATTTTTTTTTTTTTTAAATATATAAAACATGTTAAAAAAGTTTTTATATAATAATATAATTTTAATAAATTTAATATTAAATTTTAATCACTATAAAAATATCATACAAGCAAAATCAAAAATTTTTAAATAAAATATAAAAAAAATCCAATTGCATATAAATAAATAAATTAAGGAAAGAACAATGATTTAAAAATATATGCGCTATATAATTATGAAATGAAAATGATAATTTAACAATATTTTTTTTATTGTTAATTTTTGATCTTCTAAACATACTAATGTATTAATAACTTTAATTTATGTTATTTATCAGAATACATATTTGACTGATCTTATTGAATTTTAAGATTTAATGGAATTAATTATCCACGAAATAATTCATATTTTTGGTTTTAGCGATATACTGATATATGCCTAAAAATCATTAATTATTTATAATTAATACATATAAATTTTAAGCTGTAATTTATTCCTAAATATATTTATCAATATATTTAAATAATAATTTTATAAAACTTTCATTAAAGTAAATTTATTAATCAAATATTAAACATATAAAAATAAAAAAAAATTATTAAAAAAAAAAAAACTTAAAATTCAATATAATTAGGAATAAAATAAATATTAATTATTAATAATATCAGTTTAAATATCTGCTTTTTAAATTTATATATAATTAAGAAAAAATATATTGAACCAATTACTAATTTCAATTTAGAAAAATTATTCTATATTTTTAAATCATCATCATTTTCTTTTTTACCTTAATTTTTCAATAAATTACTTTATAAAATTAAATTCAAATTTAACAAAATATATCCATTATAGAAAGCATTATTTATGTATAATTTTATATTCATAAGATATTATATATCTCTCTCTTCTATATAATATTATAATTACATTTATATCACTAAAAATAATATTTTGTTGTTTGCATTTTCATAAAAATGGGGATATATTAAAAATAATATTATGTATAAAAAATTTCAAAAATCAATATATAAATTCTTAAAATAAGATAAATTATTTTATTCTTAAATAAGTTAATTAATGCTTATTTAAAAAAATAAAAAAAATAATCATATTGATAAATCATAATGCTTTATAAAACACAAAAAAAATATCTTTAATTATTTATTTTATATTTGTTAATTAAATAGAAGAATATTTTATAATTATTTTATATATTTATCATATGATTTTTTTTAGATATAAATTATTTTTTTAAAATAAAAATAATTTTATTTTATTAAAATATTTCGATATAAATAATTATTCAATATAGAAATTTTTTAATAAAAATTGGAAAAAGATTATAAAAAATCACTATAATATATAACATTATTTATTTTTTCTATCATTTAATACTTTTAATGATTATTTAATTTTAAAAAAATATTAAAATCAATATATATATATTTATTTTTTTAATATAAATTAAATATAAAAATAATATATATATTCAATATAGAAAATATAATTATTTTTATATTATTATAAAAATTTATATATATATATTTTTTTTTTTTTGAATCATTCTAAATATTTTTAAATTTTTTTTTTTTTTTATAAATTTAATTATTATCAAAATTTTCCATTATAATAGATACTAGTAATATTACAATCATGATCGTTTAAATAACAAATACTAAAATTAGAAGATCCATGGCAATAATAACGACATAATCCATCATTTTTTACATGACTACAAAATTCACTTATATTTTAATCACATTTACCATTGACAAATTGACAGCCTTCTCCTTATCTATAAATTGTTTTTTACTTCATAGAGGCGTTTACTTCAGTATAGAAACCTGTGTCTCTTGAAATATTGATTGTAAGACTAAAATATGTATAAGTTTACATATTTGAATTCATGTATCATTAGTCTTCGATGATTATTTTTTCCCAGTAAAATCCTGTAGATTCGTTTCCTCCTTAATTTTCAAGAGGCATACTAAGTAAATTATGATATCTGTAATAACTTTTAGCGAATTACGAAACTTGAAGAGTTCTGAGAGAAAAAATTCCAACTCCTCTTACTTATATTTTAATAGTAGGGAGAATATGGGATGATCCATCAGTATTTACCCATCTTAATATATCATCATCGCTAAAACCTAATATATGAATGAATCATGGATAACTATTTCCATTAAATATTAGAGTACAATAAATGCCTAATAGTTATTATTCTTAATGATTATATTTTAATTTAGATTCAAAATTATATTGAAAATTTAAATTTTTATCAAAATTAATTTTTAGTAAATTTAAAAAGATAAATAATATAAAATAAAAAACTAAAATATATTAATTTATATTGAGTAAATAATATTTAATAAAAAATAAGTCTTTAGACGAAATTAAATGTAATTATTATGTAATTTAAATAAAGATAAATGTTAATTAAATTAATTTTAATTGAAATATAAATATATATTATTTGATAAAAAAGGTAATTTTGTTTTCTCTGTATATTTTAATATAATGTTGTCTAATAAAACTTATTTTAATTCGTTACTTAATATACTGTTACTATTTATAATCTGGAAAATACTAATTCTATAAAATATTGGGTGCTCTGGCTAAAACAAAAAAGAGAATTCAAGTATATAAAAAACATACTTACTATATTAAACATGTACATGATGATGGTTAAAATAGTTGAGTATTTGTTAAGAATTATATGTCTAAAATAAATCTAGGTATTCCAGACATAAATTTATTGAAAGCCTTTACAAATATAGAAGAAAAATATTATGATAAAAGTCCTTTTTTTAGAAATTCAATAAAAAAATTAATTAGAGACTTTAAACTTATTATAAAAGAATCAAAATGGCAAAATGATAATTTTAAATTTTGATTTCTTATATCAAAGTATTTCGACAATAAAAATTTGAAAAAAAAAGACATTATTTTTAATTTAATAAGGAAAAATAAATTAGAAAATATTGATTTAATTGAACTTTTTTAAAAAATTACGGCTAAAAGTTGCTATTTTTTTAGTAATAATTTAGAATAAAAAAAATTCTATAAAAATGCACTATCTCTCTCTTAATTAGTTAGTTATCGAAGTTATTAATTTTAAAAATACAAATATTAATTTTTTGGAACTTAGGACCTAATAAAAAAGACCTACTTTTGAACAAATAAATTAAAGAATTTAGTGAATTTATTAAAAACATTACAAAATCAAGATTTAGAAAAAGATTATAAACTAGAAAAACAATGAAAAAAAAGTACTTTCCATAAATGATATTATAAATAAATTTTTATATTACAAAATATTTATCAGGAATAATTATTTATTATTTGACATAATATAATGATATAAATATAAACATAGATAATTCACACAAAAAATTAAAAAGAAGTATATCATTTAAATACAGTTATGAAGGATATTTTAAGATATTATGTGCTTTTAAATAATATAATAAACCAAATAACAATAAAAAATAATTATAGAAATCCTGCCCAGTATAATAATTATATAATATTATTAGTTTTCAATAATACAGTACTCTTTTTTGGTAAAATCGCATTAGTAATTATGTGTTCACAGCCTGTTTATTAGCCATAGAACATTTTTTCTTCCATAGTGGAGTTGATTTCAGCATAGAAACCCTGTATCTTTTAAAATATTAGCTGTAAAACTACTAATATAAGCCTAATTAGGTGACATTAATGAATTCATGTATTTGCTTTGTATATCGATTTTAAAGAGGCATACCAAATAAAGTAGGATATTCTAAAAATTTACGAGCAAATCACAAAATTCTGGAGTTCTAAAATATTTCCTTATATATTATTTAAAAGTATTATTAATATGGAGAAATCCGTTAGAAATTAAAGTTCACCATGAGCAGGTCCTAGAAGATCTAATAATTTGCAAGAAATAGCTACGGCTAAATATTTATCATTTTATTAATATGTCATTTCAGATTTAGATCTTAGGACTATTTTTATTAAATTAAAAATAATCTATTGATAATGATACTACTACTTTCTACAGGTGCAGTTAATATTTTATTTTAAATATTAGAAATAATAAGATATATCACAAGTTATGACCGTATAACTTGGTTTTTTATTTTTTAAATTATTGATATCTAAAATTTCCTAATTAGATGAAATTTAGTTATATTTCTATATTTCTTTCATTTTATCATGGAAGCATTAGTGTTGGAGGATTTTGGAAAGAAATGCAAGTTATTAATAATAGGTTAAATAAATATGAGTATTTAATTCATTTTAATATTTTTTTTTTTAGTGGTTTATTTAATAAGGCCTTTAATTTTATTTTATTATTTATTTGAAAAATAGAATTTTTTAAGAAGAAAAAATAATTTTTTTTATTTGATATTTAATAATAATTTAATTTACCTTTATAAAATAAAAAAATCTAAATATATTATTAAATTATTTAATGAATATATTGAAAAAAATAAATATATAATTAATATATATATTAATTAATATATATAGATGTTCTATCGATTTCAATTTCTAATATAGTATTTTTATAGATATTTCCAATTTATTCATTACATTTATTCTATTTAATGAAATTTTATTTTTATAAAAAAAATATTAAATATGGAAAATAAAATAATTTTGTATATTTAATTTGGTTAATTAAGATAATATTATATATTTTTTTATATAGAAGTAAATTAAAAAACACATTTATTTATTTATTAAATTTTAACTTATTGATTCTTGTTTTTAAAAATTTTATGTATTTGTTTTAAATTCATTTATTTATTCGGGATAATATATGATTTTGATTATATAATAATATATCTAATAAATTATTTTTAATATAATAATTATTAATTAAAAAATATGAATTTTAATTTTAAAAAATATCCTATTAAATATTAAATATTATTTAAAGGATTTTCGAATATATATTTTAAATTTCATAATTTATAAAATATATATAACTAAAGATCTATATAATATTCATTATTCATATTTAAAATCATTTTTAATTTAATTAATATTTTATTTTACAATTATATAAATATTATAAATATAAAATAAAAAAATTTAAATCTTAAATATTTTATTATTTAAAATATTTTTAATATAATTAATATTATTAAATTACTATAAATATCTTTTAAAAGATATTTATTTTTAATATTAATTTTATTTAACTTTTTATTCATATAAATATAAATGGAAACTATTTCAAATATATTTAATTTTTTTAATTATAATAAAGTATAAATATAATTATATTTATATTTTTAAATATTTAATGTTTTTAGTATATCTAATATATTTTAAAATGAATATTAAAATAGTAAATAAAACATATTAAAAATATGTAAAATTGAATTATATAAGATGATAATAAAATTAGTATTAAAAAATATAATTTTAATTAAATAAATATAATTTATCAAATATAAATATTTATTTAATTAAATAAATATAATTTATTTAATTAAATAAATATAAATTTAAATAATTAATTTAAAAAATGGATATGAAAAAAATAATTATAACTCTATATTTAATAAACTGTATTATTAGCTTAAGAGTCCTCTAGCATAAATGTGCCCATGACAAAATGAAAAAAAAATACAAATATAAATCAATTCCACCTGATATTTAATCTTTAGATATTCGTAGTTTGTAAAATAAAACACCACGTAATATGGTAATAAGTTATGATATATCATATTTCTAAAAATTACCTTCTAATGAAAAAAATAAAATGTTAATTTCTACCTTCGAGAAAGCTATATAACTAGCAACTGACTATTTTTCTCGATTAATAAAAATATTTCCAAAATCTGAATAAAATATGAAATATTAATAAAGTCATCCCAAATGTGGAGAAGTAATTGTCCCTTAAAATGATAAAACTTAGGGAAAGAACTCTGATTTACATTTATATGTATCATATACAAATAATAAAGATGATAACTATTTAGCTGTAGCTAGTTGGTGTTAATTTGTTGATGGTCTAGGACCTACTCATGGCGAAGTTAATTTCAATTTATAATTTATAAAAGATAAAAATTTAAATGATCCTATATAATTTGAAGATTTAATGGAAGTTATTATACATGAAATAACTCATATTTTGGGTTTTAGTAACGATGATATACCTTTATGGGAAACTTCTAATGGATCTCCTCATATTGAACCTACTACTAAATAAAAAATAAGGGGAATTGAAAATTTACTAATTAAAACTCCAAACGTTTTGGAGTTTGCTCGTAAATATTTCGGATGTCCTACTTTAATTGGTATGCCTCTTTAAAATTAAGGAGGCAATAATTCTGAAGATTCTCATTGGAAAATACAGACATTCAAAACGAATATATGAATTCATTAACCTCACCTAATTAGGCTTATTTTAGTGGCTTTACAACTAATCTTTTAAGAGATACAGGTTTCTATGCTGAAATCGACGCCAATATGGAAGAATAAATGTTCTATGGATAAGGAGCAGGTTGTGAACACGTCATGGGTAAATGTGATTCTGCTAAAATAGAATTTTGTGATCCTAAAACTGACTAGAAATTATGTGATTTTTACCATCACGGATAATCATTTTGTCATGTTTATACATTAAATGATTCTGGTTGTAATACTTTAGTTACCTACATAAATGCAAAATGCTGGGATGTTAATAGTATTTTGAACACAAGAAATGCTTAATTAGAATAAGGAGTTAAATTTGGGATTGATTCGAGATGTTTTAACGGGAATTTAATGGTTAAAAATAAAAAACATAGCTTTTAAAATATAGGAAATTGCTATAGATATTAATGTGATTCTACTAAATAATAAGTGAATATATGGGTAGGATAAATTAAACAAACTTGTAGTTAAAATTTAGAGAAATTAACATTTTAGGGATATAAAGGATTCCTTGAATGTCCAAAAAATTTATCTAATTTTTGTAGGTTCAAAAAAATATGTCCCGGTTTCTGTAATGCAAATGGATATTGCTTAAATAATAAGTGTTATTGTGCTAAAGGATTCATTGGAAAAGATTGCAATATAAAAATAGTTTCTTGAAATAGATTATTATTTTTCTATTATTTTAGAAAATAGAAGTCTTACTTTTTTATTATTTAAGCTTTTAATTTTTTTTTATATTAATCTAAATTTTGCTTCAAGCTTAAAAAATATTTAATTTTCATTTTTTAATAGCATTAATAATAAAAATATTTAAAAAATTAAATAAAGATTTATTACATTTAAAAAAAAAAAAAAATTAATATTATTTATTATAACTACAATCAAATTTTTTTAAAAAAATATAATAAATAAATAAAAATAAACTTTAATTTATATAAATATTATATAAATATAATATAAATATTATAAAAATTAAAAAAATAATATTTTTTATTCAATATTAAGAAAAATTTTATTTATAGATATATGTTTTTTAAAAAAAATATTAATTTTTAAATAATATATAATTTTTTTTTGAAAAAATATAATATTAATAAATCAAAATTAAATATAAAAACATAAATTAAAAAATTAAATTAATACTATTTTTTTATTATCTTCTAATATTTAAATTGATATTATATTAATTTTTATACTTATATTTAAATTTATATCATAATTTTTTATTTTTATTTTTTTAAAAATTACATATTAAAATTATTTTTATTTTAATCTTTTTTTAATATAAAATAATTTTTTTTATTTTATATAGAGAAAAGAGAAAATATTTATAACTAAATTCTATAAAAATACTTTAATCTAAATAAAAATAAATTTGAAATTCATACATATTAATATAATTAATAATCATCTCAATTAAAAGCATATTTATATTTAATATTTTGCATTTAATAATAACAAAAATATTTTTTATTTAATTTTAATAAAAAAAATTGTGATAAAAATTCAAATTAATTAATATTATTTTAAATATTAAATAAAAAATTAATTTTATATATAATTATAAATATAAATAATTATGATATATCATATTTTAAAAGTTATTTATTTTTAAATATTAATATACATAATCAAAGCAATCATAATCATATTACAAATAATAAAAAAAAGTTAAAAAAAACTAAAAATGAAAAAACTCATTATAATACTATATCTAATAACTTGTACTTTCAGCTTAAGAATCCTCAAACACAAATGTGTTCACGATAAAATGAAATAAAAATACAAATATAAATCTATTTCACCTGATATGGAATCTTAGGATATCCGTAATTTACAAAATAAAACTCCCCGCAATATGGTAATAACCTACGACATGTCTTTTTTTTCAAAATTACCTACTCATGATAGTAATAAATAGTTTATTGGTTTATGTGAGAAAGCCATATAAATAGCGATTGACTATTTTTCTCGTTTAATAAAAATAATCCCAAAATCTGAAATAAATATGAGATATAAATCTTAAAAATGTGGAAATTTTGATGTTCCTTAAATAGATAAAACTAGTGGAAAGGATTCTGATTTACATTTATATGTATAATATGTAATGGATGTTGATTAGTAGTATTATGCCTCTGCAACTTGGTGTTAATTTTTGGATGGTCTAGGGCCTTCCCATGGTTTAATTAACTTCAATTTAGCAGAAATATTGGAATTAGAATTGACTGATTTTATTGAATTAAAAGATTTAATTGAAATAGTTATCCATGAAATTACACATATATTAGGTTTTAGCGAAGATGATATACCTAAATGGAAAAGTTCAATAGGAACTCCATATAGTAAACCTACTATTACATAAAAAATAAGGGATATTGATAGTTTATTACTCACAACTCCTCATGTTTTGGAATTTGCTCGTAAATATTTCGGATGTCCTACCTTAGTTGGTATGCCCCTTTAAAATTATGGAGACCAAAGTTCTAAAAATTCTCATTGGGAAAACACGATTATCCAAAACGAATACATGAATGCATCTGTATCACTGACATAGGCTTATTTTAGTGGTTTTACAACTAATCTTTTAAGAGATACAGGTTTCTATGTTGAAATAGATGAATCTATGGAAGAATAGATGTTCTATGGAAAAGGTAAAGGCTGTGAGTATGTTCTTGGTAAATGTAAAACTACAACAAGAGAATTTTGTGATCCTAAAACTGACGAGAAATTATGCGATTTTTACCACAATGGTCTTGCTACATGTACAACTGGTTAATTTAATGATCCTGGTTGCAATAATTTATTTACCAACGCAGCATATAAATGTTGGGATGTTAATAGTGTATTAAACAACATGAATTAATTGAAAGAAACGGAATTTACTTTGGGACTGATTCGAGATGTTTTAACTCGAACTTAATTTCTAAAAAAATAAAATAAAAAAATGATAAAATTATGGGTTATTGCTTTAAAAATGAATGTAATGCAAATGGATAATAAGTCACAATACATATATAAAAAGAAAAAATAGTATGTAAATATAATAAAGAAAAAATGACAGTTTAAAATTATTAAGGATATATAGAATGTCCGGAAAATATATAAGAATTTTGTGGGTTTAAAAAAATATGTCCAAATTTCTGTAGTGCAAACGGATATTGTTTAAAAAATAAATGTAATTGTATTAAAGGATTCAGTGGAGAAGATTGCTCTAGAAAATAACATTTTTGAAAACAAGAAATAATAATAAAAAAAAAAAAAAATTTAAAAAAATAATAAAAATTTATAAACAGAGTCTAAAATATATTAATAATTATATATAAATTTAAGTAGTTTTAAAATATATTAATAAATTAATTTTGAAAGTAAATAAAATAATATAAAGAAATATTAAATTAAAATATATATAAATATAAAAATATATAAATATATAAATAAATATTTTATTACATTTAAATAAATAAAAAATATTAATTATAAATATATATAAATACTAATCTTATAAATACATATTAATAAATATTATAAATTTATATATATAAAAAATTATTATTTTAAAATTATTAAATTTTTTATAAATTTATAATATAATTTTTATTTTACTTTTTGAATAATTATAAACAATTCATAAAATATATATTTTATTTATTTTATATTTTTTTTTCTAGTTATTTTTATCTTTTTTTTAAATACTAATTTATATTTATGTTTCTTTATTTTATTAATTTTTTAAAATAATTTTTAATATTAAAAAATATATTTAATTTTTTTTAATAAAACTATATTTTTAAATAAAATATAATATTTGTTTTTTTTATTTGTATTTAATTAATTAAAATAAAAATAAATTTAAAAATAAACTAATATTCTTTTTCATAATTTTTTTTTAACTGAACAATCTTTTTCTTAGTATATTTTAGAGTAATAGCATTATTCTTTTAAGCAAAATTCATTTGCACTACAGTTATTTGTACAGAATTTTTTTTAAACATACAAATTTCATGTATATTTTCCGGACAATAAATATATCCATTATATACGCTAACATACATTTAGGCTAAGTTTTAAGTACAATTAACCTTTTAATCTCCTACTTCAATAATCAATTATTATTAATTACGATTACATTAATATTAATAGCATTTACCCTACAATTTATCAGATAGTTAATGTTTTTTATTCAATAAAGTCACATTAAAACATTTTTATTAAATGCCAAATTTAACACCATATGTATTCTAATTTTCTTATGTATTTAATTGACTAGTATCCCAGCATTTTCCGTTAGTATTGACTTTAGAAGTGTTACAATCAGAATCATCATATTAGCCAATATTACATATAGAAGATCCATGGTAATAAAAATCACATAGTCCATCGTCTTTCACAAGACTACAAAATTCTCTATTTTTTTAATTCGCATATACCATATATGAAATCACAGCCTTTTCCTTTTCCATAGAACATTTATTCTTCCATAGATTCGTCTATTTCAGCATAGAAACCTGTGTCTCTTAAAAGATTGGTAGTAAAACCACTAAAATAGGCCTAAGTTAGTGATATACTTGCATTCATGTATTCGTCTGCGATAGCTGTTTATTCCCAATGAGATCCTGCAGACTTTTTTCCTCCTTAATCTTCAAGAAGCATACCATGTAAATTTTGACATCCGTAATAATTTCTAGCGAATTACAAAACATTAGGAGTTCTGAGAAACAAAACTTTCAACTCCCCTTACTTTTGTTTTATTAATAGGGAAATTATGAGACTATCCATCAGAATTTACCCATCTATTTGCATCATCATTGCTAAAACCTAATATATAAGTGATTTCATGGATAACTATTTCCATTAAATCTTCAAACACAATAGGATCTTCCAGATTTTTGCTAGTTAATAAACCTAAATTAAAATTAACTGTACCATGAGTAGGTCCTAAACGATTTATAAATTAACACCAATTAGCGTTGGCTAAAGCATTGTTACTTGATTCAACTGTATATGATACATATAGATGTAAATCAGAATTTCTTCCTTAAGTTCTGTCTATTTAAGGAATTGGAACTATTCCACATTTTGCATTACTATATTTATATCTAATATCTGTTTCTTTTTTTGGTACTATTTTTATCAAATGATAAAAAAAATCAATTTCCAAATTTAAAGCTTTCTCGAAGCTATTAGTTATTCTAATTAGCTTATTTTTCAAAGCAGAAGTAGCTAAATGTTTGAAGTAATCCATATTTAGGCAATTATCATAATACGAGCTTATTTAAGTTATAAATTACGAATATCTGAATATTCTTCTACAGGATCTAGAGGGATTGATTCATATTTTGAGATTTCTTTAAATTTATCATGACCACATTTGTGTTCGAGGACTTTTAGACCGAAAATAAAGGTTATTAATAATTAAATTATTATAAATTTTTACATCTTTTATTAATTTTTTTTGTAAATATTTTTTTTTTATATATATTATGATTATTATTTTTTCCTTATTCTAATTTTTATTTAAATAACTTAATAGAATAATATTAAATTAATAAAATATTTTATATAGTATAATAAAAATTATTTATATTTAAATAAATTATCATTAAATAAGTTAAAATAATTTATAAAAATTTATATTTATATATTTAATAAAAATAGTTTAATAAAAATTAAAAAAAAATAAAAAATATTTAATAAAAATAAAAAAATAAAAAATTAATTAAGTTTATAGAAATTATTTTTTTAATATTGTTACATTTATAAAATTATAAAAATTGAATTGATTATAAATATAAATTAAATGTATATTATTTATCAATAATTATTAAAAGAAATTTAAATTAATTTAAAAAAAAATTATATATAAAAAAAATATAAATATTAATAAATATATATATATAAAAAATAAATATATATATTATATATATATAATTATATGTTTTTTTTTATATAAATATATTTTTATTTTATTTTATTTTATTTTTAAAATCAATATTAAACAATTTAATAATGATATATATTTAATTTTTTTATACATTTACATTAATATATCTATATATATTATTATTTTTATTTTTAATTTATTTTATTTATTTTTTAATTTATGTTCTATATTATATTTTATATATGTATTTTATTTTTATTTTTTTATATTTTATTTTTTATATCATTATTTAAGTAATTTTATTTACTTATTCTATTTTTTATTTTAATTTTTTTTTTATAATATTTTCTAAAAATTTAATTTATATAGAAAATTAAATATAAATATAATATACCTTTTTATATTTATAAAATATCAATATTTTTTTATTTATTTTTAATTAAAAATTAAATTAAAAAATAAATATATAAAATATTTAGTTTTTTCATAAATTATTTTAAACTGAGCAATCATTTCCTTAGAAATCTTTTGCACAATAACATTATTCTTTTAAGCAAAATCCATTTGCACTGCACTGATTCGGACAGAATTTTTTAAACCCACAAAATTCGTTTATATTTTCTGGACACTAAATATATCCATGAAATCCGTTAACTTTCATTTATGCTAAGTTTTAAGTACAAATGACCTTTTAATCTCCTACTTCAATAACCAATTTTTCATTAGATTCACATTTATATTAATAACATTTACCCTACAATTTATCATATGGTTAATGTTTTTTATTCAATAAAGTCACATTAAAACATTTTGATTAAATCCCAAATTTAACACCATATGTATTCTAATT